TTATGCATTAAACGAAAATGCAATGGCAATGTTGAGCGCTTCAAGACATATTTGGTGAAAAAGGGATTTACTCAATAAGACAAAGTTAATTATGAATAGACTTCATGGCATGCTAGAGAATAATGCTTATATGGAGCAATTAATTGGTTTTATCAACCCTCACTTCTCACACCATGTTTATAAGCTCGACAAGATTTTTTGGTTCAAGGGCTAAAGTAGTAATCTTTTACGAGCACACATCTATTGACTTTGTTTTATTATAGCTCTATGTTGATGATAATATCATAATGAGATTTTTTTTTATTGTTGCTGCTTCTATAATTTTAGAATTGACAGAAACAATACTTTTTTACAAGCACACATCTACTAACTCTATTTTATTATTAGTCTATGTTGATGACAATATCAACATGAGATTTTCCTCTTTTTTTTATTGTTGTTGCTTCTATTATTTTAGAATTTATCTTAACCTTTTTTCCATAATGTAGACATGTCATTTTATTTCTTGGAATCAAATCTCACCATTCCTATGAAGAGTTACATTTATCTCAACACAAATATTCAAATGACCTACTTGATTGCATTAACATGCATGAAGCAAAGCTTTGTTCTTCTTCCATAATGGCCATTACTAAGCTTACTACTACTACTATTACTACTCATTACATACTTAAGTTTACACTTCTTTGTAAATAAAGCGTGCCAATTAATGAAGGTTGATATGAACATTGGACTACAATTAAACATGTTTTTTGTTACTTCATGCCCATACCTAGTCTCATGTTCCAAGGAGGTGACTAATTTTTCCTTTTCCCTTCAAATAGGTACGCACTAGTTGTGACCACTTCAAGTAATTCTGGCCATTCAGTCTATATGTTGCCTGAATATTCTGTAAATCACCAGTGTGAGGATGAGAGTTTGTTGCTCTTTCATCGGTTTGGACGGGAACACTTGTTGCAATCATGTCGGACATTGTTAATGGAGGAAAAATAAGACCAGCAGGAAAGGAGAATAAAGGAACACTTCTGGTTACAGATCAACACTAAAGGCCATAAGAGAAAAACACAAAAAACTGGCAATGAAGGCTGAAAAAATCTCAAGGTTGACAAACCTAGAGCTCTGATACCATGTTTTGGAATGGTAGAATGGCATATTTATACAATAAGCTGCTGCAATAAATAGAAAGAAAGAAAATAAAATAGAAAGAAGAAAAAATAGAAAGAAGAGAAAATAGAAAGTACAAAAATAGAAAGAAAAAACTTTATAAATCAATCATTCCACAATCCTAAGAATATATACAATTCTATTTTCATATCTGAACCTGTAACCCCACGTTTTCCAACAAATATAATTGCATAAAATTCAATAAAACAAAACAACATCACTTGCTCCAATATAGAGTCGAAGTATTAAAGTATAGTTAATGCATATTGATTTTCTTTGGATTAAAATGTTGCTCAAAGGGATTGGTTTTCCACTTTCTTATGCTCTTCGAGTTGTGTTATGACAATTTGGGTGCCATATTCCTCTCTACCAACTAGTAGTTCACACTCACATTAAAAACATTGAGCTAGATAACCATTTTGTTTAAGAGCATGTTGCATTTGTTTCTATTTAGGTCCAAAATTCACGCGTTTAAGCTTAAATTGTTGAGGTTTTCATTAAATTGCCCAATGGTTCTCTATTTGATTTCCTTTAGTCTAAATTTATGATTAGCCCAACCTAGTTTCAGTTGGAGTGTTAGGGATCACAATGAAGTCACCAATTTCTATGGGACTCTTACACCAATTCAACCATCTTCATATAGATAGGCTTAACCTTATCTCATTGTCACATATTATATATGTTCAAATTTGAATTCAAATTGTATAGTCCCCGCATGTAAATCATATTTATATAAATACAATATATATGGATTCTCGAGGTTTGAGAGATCTATTTCAATAAACATTACCCTATTACATAGACATGAAACTCTACAACTCATTGAGAAATTCAAATGAGTCATTAGTTCAATTGTTTAGAGATGCCATGCCATTGACCCAAACCATAGTCTCTTTTTTAGGTAATTTAGTGAGTTTGATGTGAACTTTAATCAAAATTATGGCATGTTCATAAAACCACTAGTTTGGCTCAACCCTCTTCATATAGATAGACTTAACCTTTGTCATATATTATAGATGTTCAAATTCAAATTCAAATTTTATAGTCCGCACATGTAAATCATTTTTATATAAATACAATATACATGGACTCTTAGGGTTTGAGAGATCCATTTTAATAAACATTACTTAGTTACATAGAAATGAAACTCTATAACTCATTGAGAAAGTTAAATGAGTCATTAATTCAGTTGTTTAGAGATGATATGCCATTGACCAAGACAATAGTCTATTTTTTAGGTAATCTAGTGAGTTGGATGTGAACTTTAATTAAACTTATGACATGATCATAAAACCATTAGTTTGGCTAGTTAGGTCAATTATTGATTGAAAGCATTAGGAGATGCCTTGTTAGGTAGGATTATACTTGTACAATTGCAATCTTGTACGCCAATTGAATTAAGATACTGAAACTTAATGAATCAATTTAACAAAACACCTATTATATGTCAATAATTTTTATTTTATTGGTTAACAATTAAACATGCTCACGAGTTGGACCTATATCTTGATCAGCCTAAAGAAGACGTTTTTTTTTACTCAACAATAAAACTAAATTATTTACATTAAGTGCCCTCAAAACCCAACAAAGTACTAAAAGAATATCACTATGGCTTGAAAAAAGATAAGAGGAATAAAGAAAAATATGTAATATCTATTTTTATTATATAAAACATCATCAGGTCAGGCTCGGGCTTGGGTTGGGATAAACAAGATGAATATTTAAGGCAAAACTTAAAGCATATAAAATTTAAATACAACGACAAATCATGGTTCAAATATACATTTATTATTTAAATCAAGCAATTTATATGATTTAATTTGAAATTTATCATACCACATAGTCACAATAGTTATATGTATGCTTGATTGTTTAATTATCTATCATTTTCTTCTTATCCAAACCAAAATGGTAAAAGCCTTTATAGTGGGATTGTAGAGGCATAAACAAGAGTTTTAGATACATCTTATGGATTTTGCAAATATATATGCATTCAAACTACATGTATCATTTTTTTTCTTTCAATTTTAGAAGGTGAGGTGCATACAAAAATGGTCACAAGAAAAAATATTCTAATGAAACTGAACCTTTTTATTTTGCTACATTGCATTGTATTTCATAGCAATTACTTAGGTGTCCTATGGAAATTTTAAATCCATTGTGATCTCTTAGTTGGGTAAAATAGTTGAATAGTTTAATCCCTGGCTTTATTACATTAACACGTTAACACGGTATAGTAACCATCACAGTTCATAGTTTCAATTTAAATATGTATGTAAGGGATTTTATTAAAAGTCTTGGAAGAGATAACAAAAAGCAAATAAAACTTTTGTAAACATCTAACAAATGACAAATGGTGAATGAACAAATTAATAATTAAAGCAAAATTAGTTATAAACAGGCCAATCAAAAGGACAAACCAAACAAACCATACCGATTAGTGGAATAGCCAGAATAGCCATCATTCTCACCAATACTTCCAAACCCCACCACCTTATCGTCCCCTTACATTCCACGCAAATGATGCATATTTCTTATCATCATCATTTGATGGATTAGTTGCCATTAGCTTCATCAATACAATGGCACATGATATTTATATGTCTACATAAAAAAGGATGAAAATAAGAAGAGACATTAAAGTTTAAAAATATGTTTTTACTTTACTTATTTAAATGCTTTAGCTTAATGATTGGTCCACACATGTTAGTGTGGCTCAATTCATATTTGTATGTATGATATAGGACTAACATTTATTCTTTAAATTTTACATCCACCAAAGTTAAAGTTGATATGCAATATTGATTTATATCATTGCGATTTAATTGCACGTGCTAGAGATGTCAATTGGAATGTATTTGGTCTAATCCGATCCAGTCCAATATGAATCTATTACAAATGAACTAGGATCAATTCAATCCAATAAATATTATGAACCATTTTGGACTGGTTCAATTAAATGTTTGGACTGTTCTATCTATTCAATTTTATTTTAATTTAGATTAATTCTAAGTTCTAACTTTGTTGACACTTATATTCTTATCTTTTATCAATGAACCACGTATTGGCTCAATCCAACTCAATCTACTATAAATTCATTATAAATGAACTAGGTCCAATCCAACCCAATACTTTGGACCATTAAGTCTGAGTTGGTCCAATTCAATATCTCCTGTTGGTCCATTCAAATTGATTTTGATTTGGATGATTCCAATAATATCTAAAAACAATCTCCTAAAAGCTCAAACATTTTCTTTTGATGTATAGATATTTTTAGAAAAACTTGTCAATACTCATTAAAATATTTGTATATATATATTATATGACATTTCATTTGGATTTCACTGGAACTTGGAATAACATGTGATCAATCAGATAAACTAATTGATAAATATTTGTTTCCAGGGGTTGACCCGTTGACCAGATGAGTCTGACATAGAGTTCAGCCCATGCGGATCAGACTATAGTAATTTAGGCATGCACATATACAACAACTAAAGTGTTCCACAAGTCAGGACTTAGAAGTTAGGAGGGTGACGGAACAAATTCGCCCATAAATCTTTCGATTATTACGATAAAAAACCATAAACCTTTTTGATGACATGATGACACTATTGTCCTCTTTTTTGTCAAAGGCGGCTATTCCACATAGAATCGCACAATTGCGAGGGTGTTTTCGTCAATTTGAGTTAGCGAGTGTCTCAGACATCTCCGTCAAAGATCACGGTTCAACGGAAACGGAAAAAATATAAAATAAATAATAAATAAATAAAGAAAAAAAGAGGCAAAGTCGATGGGAAATAAAATAGGGATTAAGGAAATAGAGGAAAAACAAAAAAAATGGTAAAAACCCTATTTTCCCCTTTTGTCTCCTGGTTAGATCGGTCTGTTGCTCTCTGCGGGGTTAATTTCCTCGGAGCGGAAAAGAAGAGAAAAAGGAAATAAACAAAAAGAAAAGACGGCTCTTCGGCTGTTCCTTTGTTGGACGTCAAAACTCAACCAGAGTATTACGCGAACCGATTAGAGCTCGCGAGACCGTTTGGGACAATCTTTGGCGAGGAGGGGATTTGGAACTAATCGGGTGTTGACAGAGATCGTGATCTCGGTTGTTTTTTGGTATCTGCCGGTGGGTTTGGTGGTTCCGATGAGGGATTACGATTCTTTCCGATCATGCAGGATTTGGAAGATTTCTTTGATGGGTTTTTATGGGTTTTGGTTTTCTGTGGTAGGTTCGAGATATTTTACACATTTGAGTGATGTCGGATTTTAGGGAAGGGGGTTACTTTTGAGGGAAATTGAGGGTTTACGGAGCGGATTTTTGATGCTCTCCGTGGGGAGTAGGGATGGGAGGAAGGGGTTAGGTTTGGGTTTTGGTGTTGGAGGGGAGATGGAAGAGACTGAGCTTGAAGAAGGCGAGGCTTGCTATTATCAGGGCGGCGACACAAGCATCGACCCTGATGTGGCTCTCTCTTACATCGTAAGAAGATTATTCATGTCTCTACTTCGAAGATAGTTTGATTATTTTCTTATTTTTTTTTACGGGAATTCCACGATTGAATATCTCTGTTTTGCTAAGAACTTGTTTTTGCTTCCCCTTTTTGAATGCTCTGGATTGATCTCGTAAAACATTGAATTCTTCATATCGTCTTGGATGATGTTTTCTCACGTTTTCAAACTTTTGACCCATTGTTTGATATTTTGATTCATGTTTTCTGGTTATACAAGGTCTGCTTTCTTTTTTCACAAGTTTAGAGTTTTTTTTTTTCTCTTTCCTAATGTATTGAAATAATTCATTGTTGTTTGTTTTATTTTTTTGAAGTTTAGGCATTAGAGTTATTTAAAACGATAATGTCCTGGAAATGGAACATGCGAGCTCTTACTTTGCTTTTCTCGTTAAGTTCCGCAAATGCTCCTCTCTGTGGTTTTATCGAGAATCATCAGAACAAGTTCTTTCTTTGCTTAGTTATGGAGTCAGAGAAAACAATTTCGGAAATGTCCTCTCTTCAATCAGTGTTGAAGTTAGGGAAACAATTTTGTTTGGTTTAAGCATCATTAGAACTGATGTTTACAAAATCAAACCATAACGTGTAGCGCCCTCTATCTGACACCCAAAATGAATTATGCGCTTTTCTTCTAGAACTATGGAGACTTTTATGGTTCTCTGTGCCAGATTTTTAAATGCTTTGTCATTTATTTATTTATTTTTCCTTTCTACTTAAGAGGCACATCAAATATGTATTGCTTCTTTATACGCCTACTGGTGTGCCATTTCGTATTCCATGTGCATGGTGGTATTCGTGAAGCAGTGAGCTTGACTAGTTTACTTCTGTCAGGATTGAAGTTTTAATGAATGCAATTTCAGTTTTTTAATATACATGGTCTTCTGGACGTCTGATTGGCATTTATCTATTTCTGAATATGGTTTTTTTTGGTCACTATTCATTTGCATTTTTTCACTGGCAACATTAAGAAATTGTTTTTTTGGATGTATAATATGAAGGATGAGAAACTTCAAGATGTTTTGGGACATTTTCAAAAAGATTTTGAAGGTGGAGTTTCTGCAGAGAATTTGGGTAAGTCACCCATGACTGAAGTATAGATTGTACAGAACCCAAATACTAGCATAGTTATTTTCTTCATACTTCTTGATGATGGTTTGGAATTTATGATTTTTATTCATTTTGACAGGGGCAAAATTTGGTGGTTATGGTTCATTCTTACCTACATATCAGCGCTCTCCTTCTATCTTGTCTCATCCAAGGAGTCCAGAGAAAGTTCAGAATTATAGTGCTCCAAGGTCACCAAACAACTTCCTGTCGGAGGTATAAGTTTTTAAATTTGCAATGAAATTTCTTCCATTTATTTTTTTCATTCCATAGGAATGAGATATATGAGATTGGTACCTTTGCTGGATGAGCAATTTCAATTTTATTGGAGCACTGCATGTCATGCTACCATACAGGTTGGCTGTCAAAACTCCACAGTCCCATCAAGTGCATCCTCCCAGGAGAGGCCTGAACGTGCTTCCTTGAGCACTGTACCACCATCCATTTCAAGGGCTTCATCTGTTGATAATTCAGTCAAAAGAGATCCATGCTCATATTCTACAAGGGATGCAGGGGAACATACTCCAAACCAAGAACCTCCGCATAGGTCGGTTCCGATTAATTCAAGTGACCAGAAAACACTAAAGGTTCGCATTAAAGTGGGCCCTGATAACTTGGCTGCTCGAAAAAATGCTGAAATCTACAGTGGCCTTGGCCTTGATATTTCTCCATCTTCATCATTTGAGGACAGTCCTGCTGAAAGTGGAGGTATATCTCCAGAGTCTCACGACTCTCTCGACAAATCTCCCATGAGAATACTTCAGGTAAATGTTCTTGCATTTTCTTGTCTTTATTATACAGGTTTGTGGGTGGCATTCAAGTGATCAGGAAGTTTTTCTTTTCTTGGCCTTATTGATTTTGCAAGCAGATCATGACATCTTTTTCAGTCCCTGGTGGCCAATTGTTGTCACCTCTTCCTGATAGTCTGCTCCACCTGATGGAAAAGGAAAAGCTTCTTGGAGATGGTAGAGTTGGGCCTGCCCGGAAGGGTAGCAGAGATAATTCTTTGATGGAAGCAGATGACCCTTCTTCCATGAGGCGGGATGGGAAATTATTGGGTGATAAGAAAATGAAGCCAGTGGAGAAAAATGGGAGATCTGTAGAAGTGAAAAATGAGAACGCTAAGGATTCTAGCAATGATATTAGTGCTCTCTTGAAGAAAGAAATAGATATAGAGACCCCTGCAGGAAGGGAGCTTGTTTCTAATGCCTTGAAGATTTCAATTATATCCAATTTAAAATGCCCTATTGGAGAAACAGCAAAAGGTGTTTTTAAGGCATCTGATATTTCCAGAGAAGCCAATAAGGATGTGGTAAAGGACAAGTACTTCTCACCTGATTTTGCGAAGGAGGAAGGATTGGAATTGGCTTCCAGTCAGGATCTAAACAGGGTTGAGAAGCGCAGTTTAAAAATGTCTTCAACAGACAAAGTTTGCGAAGATAAAAAAGACAGCTTTTACAAGGATGCTTCATTTGAACGTAAGAAGGATAGGAGCAAAGATGAGAGTGTATGTGGCACATCTAAAGTTGAATCTGATGCATTGAAGGGAGGGAAAGATCTAAATGGTGGATCTGTAAATCCTCCAAAACAAAAAGTTGGTCTGAAATCTACATCCCAGGAGCAGGATGGGGCTAATATACCTCAATGGAAGGAGCAATCATCCTCTGGGGGCAAAAGGAAATCAAAGGGAAGCCAAAGTAATGGCATCCCACCTGCAGATCTCCATAAAGAAAGATTAAGGGTTGATTCTGGTTCTGTAGTAAAAGAGAAAAGGAAGAATACTTCCACTGGTGATTACTCATCTAAAAGTAAAATAGATGGTACAAAATTGCACAAGGAAAAGGGAAAGATAAGAGATGGTTATAGAGATGTACTTGGTGATGTAAAAGTGGAACAATCAGAGTGCAGATTGGACTCAGTAGAAATGCCTTTTAAAGATAGGCAGAAGAATAAAAAAACCGAGGCTTTTGATAAGGAATTCCAAACATCTGCTGACAAAACAAAAGAGCGATCAATTGGTAAAAAACCTGATAGCTCACTGACCCATGTTGAACATCAGAAGGCAGCTCCAATGACTGCTCCTGCTTTGGTAGAAAATGGACCCATTTCTGATGGGGCTTCTGCAACTGTAGCTGCTGTGCTTATACAAGATAACTGGGTTTGTTGTGATAAATGTCAGAAGTGGCGACTCTTGCCATATGGTATTGAGCCTGAACACCTTCCCAAGAAGTGGAAGTGTAGCATGCTTACCTGGCTGTAAGTTCCTTTCTAATAGTGTTCTAGGCTCCATTATTATATTGTAACCTGCATGCCCGGATTAATAAATGTAAGGGTTAGTCTGGAACTGAGTAATATGATGGGAATATCAAATAAAAACATTTTAAGTTAGTTTATATAAAATTCCACTCCGAAGTTCAAGACTTATATTTTCCTTGTCCTCAAATTGAACACTGAAATGGCCTTCAGTGTGTTGCTCTCAATTTGTTCCCTAGGGGCTCTTCACACTGTAATATTTATGATTTAACTGTTAAACATGCATAAACATATACATATTTACTTTTATTATGTATGTGCACTTGTTTTAGTTCAGTATATATCTTACATAATTATAATATATTTTGTTCTATTTGTTCAAGTCATTGGATATTGCTTGGTGCTTACTGCTTAGCTTCTTGGTTTGCGTTTTGACTGCACTAGTGCCAAGGCTTACTAGGTGTTTTAAAAATACTGATCAGCAGTTAGACCTAAAGTTAGTTCTTCAAGAGCAGGGGAACAATTAAGGTCTGGCTACCTCAGTAGTGGTGCTGTGGTCCTCACCAAGCAACAATATTGGCATTTTGTATTGCCAAAATTGTTCATGTGGTGAGGAATTATCCATATTAATAAAATTTCAGCTGTTAATGATTTTTTTTTTGCCATTTGGTTGGATGGTTGGGAGTACCCAGTTTGATTGTTATTTTGCTAATGCCATATATTCTAGAGATGTTCCATACCCAGTTTGATTGTTATTTTTCTAATGCCATATATTCTAGAGATGTTCCACCAGAGAATCTTGAATCCTATTTTATGGTTAAAAGGTCTATGAAATCATTCATGTGCAGCAGTTAGTTTATTTTCCCTAGTGATAAATTCGTTTATTGGACTGCCTTCCCCCCTTGTTCCTTTTCCAATTTGGACTAACTATTACACTATTAAACTTGGTTTCTAGGCCTGGAATGAACCGATGTAACATCAGTGAAGAAGAGACAACAAAAGCTGTGCAAGCATACCAAGCCCCCTTTGCTCTCCTTGGAAACCAAAACAATTTGCAAGCTCAGCCCAATATAGTGGCAACAGGTGTAAACTTGGTTGATGTGCAGAATCTTGGTCAAAACAATCAGGATTCTAGTTTGGTTGGTTTATCTGCTGGGGGTAAGAAGAAACATGGGCTAAAAGAAGCTAGTATATCTAACAGTACAAGTGTCATAAACTTTTCAAATTCATCAAAGAAGAATCAGCAGTCCTCTGTGAAAAGCAGAAGCTTAAATGATGTGACCAACTCTCCTTTGGAATCCAGTCTGGCAAACAGGCCTGGATTTCAGCAATCAAATAAGTCAGGTGACTTTGCTGGAGAAAAGCATATGCATAAACAGAAAGAGAAGTACAAACTACCGGAACACTATTCAGATGGAGGTATGCCCTAGAAGCTTGCATTTCTTTGACACACTTAAATTTAATCCCCCTTACTTGCAGTTATGTAATTACTTTTTGATATTATATATTACGGCAGGTGATGGCAAGCACATGAAAAATAAGAGGGAGTCTGATCAAGAGGGTCTTAGAGCTTCTAAAAAAACCAAGAAAGAAGGTGCATATTATGCTGATGAAGATAGAAATTCTGACCATGGTGGGGCCATGGGGAGAGTGTTCCCATGCTCAAGTGGTAGTTTACCAACAAAGGTGCTTGGAAAGGATCTACAGAAATACAACAAATTTTCATCTTCTAAGGACTCAAAGTGTAATGCAAAAGATGGTTCACTAGCTTCTGTAAAGAAACCAAATGACCATTTTCAGGTTTCTTTGGATGGAGGATCTTTGGATATGGGCAAAAACAATAAAATGGATATGGCTGCAAAGAAGAGGAAAGGGAAAGAGTGGCAAGGGAGTCAGAGTTACTCAGAGGCACTGCCAACTAGTGCACATCATCCACAAGACAGTGGGGTTCCTATGAAGGTGGAAACTAGTGAGAGTGAACTGAGAAAGGACAAGAAAATTAGGTTGTCCAAATCTGATGGAAGGGAATCCAGTACAAGTAAGAGCGAAGGCAGAAAAGATAAAAAAGGAAAGGTGACCCGGATAATCTTGTCTGGAAGTCGAGATCAACCAGTTGATGGAATGGAAGAGGAAGGCATAAGTTGTATTGAAAAGGAACCACTACAGGGTCAACAAGATTCATTGAAAAGGGATTCAGGGTTTGGACAACCTTCTGTTGCTGCCACTTCTAGCTCATCAAAGGTCTCAGGCTCACGTAAAACTAAAAGCAACTTCCAAGAAGTTAAAGGCTCTCCTGTGGAGTCTGTTTCTTCATCCCCTTTGAGGATTTTTAATCCTGACAAACTTATGCCAGTAAAAAGAAATGTTTCTTTGAAAGATGAAACATCTAATTTTGGGGTTTCTGGCATGGGTAGCCCGAGAAGATGCTCTGATGGTGAGGGTGGTGATGGTGGGAGTCATCGATCTGGAATAGTAAAGAAGGAGAAAACTTCCTCTGGCACTCATCATAGATCATTGGAATCTTCTGTGCAGCAGGATAGGGATGCTTTGAGTGGCAAAATAAAAAACCAGGCTGAACCTTCTTCCAAATTTGGAAGCACCCATTTGGTCAATGGCGGTCCTGATAACCTAGACCAGGATAACCATTGCCATGAGGAGAGAGCTAATAATAGTCACTACCATTCAAATGGTTTGGTCCCACGGAAATCTGGTAAAGGCTCTTCTCGGTCTAAAGACAAGCATAGAAATTCAAAATCTGATTTCGAAAAAGGAAAGGTCAGGGTCCCTGATTCTTTCAGTGAGCAGGAAGAATTATATTCAATGAAAAGCTCTAGATATGTGGGAGAGCCTGAATCTCATGATTGTTCACCTTCCCACGAAGAAATGAGGGATGGGAAATACAACTTTATGGAGAAGTGTGGCATGAAACCTGACAAGGATGAGAAAGGTCACTCAGGTAAGCATGATCATGTAGGAAAATGGTCTAGTGAAAGTAGTAGAAGAGAGAACCAGTCAAAACATGGTGTCCATGAAGGTTCAGGTGCAAAATTGGATCCTAATGGCAGCAAGGATGGGAAGCCAATCATCCAGCAGAACATGCTGCAGGAGCGTGAGGGCGAACGATCTTCAAACTGGATTTCCTCAGATAGAACTGACCGAATGGAAATTCCGTCAGGGAGAGGGAAGTCACACTTGTTAACACATTCTGGAGATAAACAAGAACCACAGTCTCTGTGTGGTCGAATTGCACCTGGTTCCCAGACAGGAAGTGGATCAGTGGTGTTTCCAGTTGATGCCTCTGGTGGTGGCGAGGCATTGAAAGCTCCAAAACACCCCAGGAAACCTGATAACCAGAATGGGTCTCATTCTAATAATGTGAGGTATGCCACACCTAATGGAATTGGAGTCAGGGATCTTGATGCTCCAAGTCCGCTTCGAAAGGATTCTTCCAGTCAGGCTGCTGCTATTAATGCCTTGAAAGAAGCCAAGAATCTTAAACACACTGCTGATAGGCTTAAGGTGTTTTACACTAAATCCTGTGTCATTTTTCTTTGCTGCAAGCTTCATTATTTTATGTCCGTTTCCTTTGTTCTAACTTCTGATTAAACTATCTTCTGTAGAACTCTGCATCATACGTTGAAGCTACTGGGTTATACTTCCAGGCAGCTCTGAAGTTTCTTCATGGGGCCTCCCTTTTGGAGTGTAGCATTGAGAATATAAGATATGGGGAGCAGAATCAGTCCATGCATATTTATAGTTCTACTGCTGCACTGTGCGAGTAAGTTTAATTGTCAATACTGCAGGAAATTGTTTGCTTCTTGTGTGTAATTTTTAACATTTTGCTTCTGAAAAAATGAATAGGGTTCATAGTCAATGTTATTGACAACTTCTGTTTTTGTTTGGTTTGCCTTGCATCTTTGCAACTAAACCCTTTGCACTGGCCTGTAAGGTTGATTGTTGTTCTCTAAATTTATAGACAATACCTTACCTACTTGAAAAAAATCTTTGCAAATCATCCTTCCTGATATTATTGTAAATTGCTTCCGAGGCTAGAAATTTGCATTTTCGTTGTACTCGTAGGTTGTATCTGTATTTTTAGTTTCTTGCCGTAGTAAATTCATTGAAATTGAGCATATCTTGGCAAAAATCTGAAACTATTTGTCTGATATCTGACTTAAACTTCGTAATTTCTTTTGAATCATGGTATAGAGTTGTATGCTATTTAGTTGTCCCCTCCATGGGACATTGATTTGCAGTAAAAAAGACAATAGGCATGGTTCACTAATTTTCATGGGACATTCATGTGCTGCTCGCCTATGTTCACTAATTTTCCTCTGTTGTGGTACTGTGGTAGGATAATAGGCATGGTTTAACACCCTTGAATTCTTTCTTTTGCCGGTTTTCCACATCTTCTACTTTAGTTTTGCTTAGTGAAAAAATGTAAGCGTGCTTAGCATTGTTTTCTCCAGTAAGTGTTAAAATTTTATTAATATGAAAGAAAGAATATAGCATCCATAAATGTGCCCAGCCCGCACTAACCATGAACTTGTTTCCTTTTATTACCAACCCTTCCTGGTAGATCAATCGCTAGTACAACTGATTTCTGTTAATCCCTTGTCTTGCTAACCTATCAGCTAATCTATTAGCAGATTTTGCAACCTATGTGTGGCTTATATTCATCTCCATAGCTATTCAACCTGTTTCTTATGTATTAGTATTTCCATGATTCCATCCTCCTCTTGTTTAGCCAGCCCATGACAATTGACCGTCCCCTTTCACCATTAGATTTCTATACCTAGAGATTTGGCCAGTTTCAGTCTGTGTACAACTGCCGTTACTTTCAACAGGTCTAGATTAAGGCTAAAATCATTTTTTCACAATCTCTAAATACTCCACAGAGCGAGTTTCTATGGAGTGTTAGGACTGAAAAATAGAAACTTCATTTGGTCAAATGGGAGGTGGTGTGTAAACCTAAAACAGAGGGGGGTCTTGGGGTGAGGAGGGTGGGAGTTTTCATCAAAGCTTTGTTGGGGAAGTGGGTGTGAGGTTTGGGAGGGAGAGAGGGGCACTTTGGAGGAGAGTGGTTCCTTGTAAGTATTGGGTGGTGAATTTTTGGTGGGATTCAAAGGAAGTGAGACAATCTTATGGAGTTAGTGTATGGAAAGAGATAACGAGTTTCAACTCTTTGATGTTTTTTTTTTATTCTTGGAAGGTGGGGAGTGGGTCTAGCACAAAGTTTTGGGAGGTTGATTGGTCAGGAATTGGGAATTTTGGTGGGATATGCCCAAGACTATACAATTTGGGTCAGAAGGGAGTGCCTATTTCTGATTGTTACGAAACAATTAATGGATCAGTGGTTTGGACTTCAAATTTTAGAAGGCCTCTATTCAACTGGGAGATGTAGCCAGAGGAGTGTTTGTAACTACTGTCAAAATTGCAGTGAATGGAAATTAATCCCTCAGCTGCAGACATCAGGTGGTGGAAAGAGTGCAAGGATGGGAAGTTTACAGTCAAGTTGATGTACTCTATATTGATCAGAAATCCGGTGGAAGTTGATTCAATTCGGGGAGTGTGGGGGAAACCAGTGCCCCCAAGAGTGGAAGCCTTTGCCTGGCGCCAGAGGTTTTTAAAAACGAACCGGTCAGGGGTCCGGTTACCGGTTCGAACGGATCCGAACGGTCGGCTGTTCTGACAGAAAAATAAAAATTAAAAAATTGGAAAACGGTCAAAACCGTTCGAATGGTTCAATCGGTTAACCAGCCGGTTCAGTGGTTTGCTGACCAAAATCAACGGTTTTGGGGGATAAAGCGGTTTTGGAGGAAAACGGAACCGGTCAGGTGACCGGTTCCCGGTTTTTCCGGTTTGACTGTCCGGTTTTGAAAACAGTGATTTCAGTTTTCAAGCAGATGTGTTGTGTTTGGCTGGAGCAGTGATTTAAAAGGTGTGGCTCAGGTGTGCCTAGGCGCATAGGTGAGGCGCATTTCAGGGCATGCGGCTCGCCTAGGTCCTAGGCGCAGTCCTTTCAAAAGGCGCCCGCCTGGTGTGCCTAGGCGTGCACCTGATGCGCCTCGCGCCTCATTGGTAATGTTGTTCATTCATTCATCCTAATAAAATGTCTTCTTAAAAAACAAGTAAAACTATAAAATCATTATTTTTTTGTGTGAAAACTAAGAATTTAAGAGCTAATGTGGACTTGTTTAGGCTTGCCTGGAGGGGCGTGGCACGAAGGCGGCCCGTAGAATCAGGAATGCTATATGTTTTACATTACATTAGCTACGTGAAGTAATGCAATTGAGTGAAAAAAGAGATTAGAGGTTTTAAATGCTTGAAAATGTTTTATATGTTTGATTTTATTTTTAAATTCTCATTTGAATATGCTTTACAAAATTACATCTTATGTTTATGTACTTTAATTTTAGATAATAGGTTTTTTAAAACATTATTTTAGAATTTAAGTTTATATTTTTTTATTAATATTATGTTTAGTATTTTTTTGAATTTTTTGGACTTTTTTTTATTTTTTAGCATTTTTTTTTATAATTTTGCACCTTGCGCTTTTAAAACACTGGGCTGGAGAAGAAAATATTAGTCACCTGTTGTTCCAATGCAGTTTTATAAACCCAATTTGTTCCTATTTCTTCAAGCTGTTTAAGGTGGACATGTGGTCAGCATCAGATTCAGCTGAAATTTTTGGGTAATGGCCAAGAATTCAGGGTGGTCCTAAGGTCAAAATTCTTTCTAATTGCCTTATAATTCTGGTTTGTTTTCTTCTTGTATTTGTGTTTTTTGTATATTATATTCTAAAATTTTTTCCTCATCTTCCTTTTTTGATGTTTTCCTTGATTTCCCTAGGGATTTTTTTCATTCCTAATTTCTTCAGTCCTCTCTAAGTAGTCAAAAAACCATTCTTACCAGCCCAAACTTGTAAGCTCCATTTAAGCTCATTTTCATCCTCTTGTCAGTTCTTGTGGGACAACCAGTGGAACTTCTCTTCATTTACCTTGTATTATATATTTAGAAGTTAGCAATGGTTTAACAAATTCTTAGATATTGATTTCACCAGATTTGAAATGAGGATAAATTCTTAGTTAGTGATTTAGAAGTTCTTATATGTGTAGCTAGTTGGTTAGATCATGTGAATTTTGTGTATAGTATGTATCGAAAGAATGGAACTAGATAATCTGACATCCTTGACTCAGTTTTAGTTCCAATTATTAAGGCTATATAGTAGAAAGAGATAATTCTATGCTTTGCAATTGGTCAAATTCAGATAAAGAACTCAATTTATTGTAATCAGAAGTTTATATTTCTGCATCATTACATATCAGTACTTGTCTCCTCACTGGCAGTCTATTTTTATAAATTCTAGATTTTGTGCTCGTGAATATGAAAAATACAAAGACATGGCTGCTGCCTCTCTGGCTTACAAGTGTATGGAGGTGGCATACATGAAGGTCATTTATTTCAAACACTCTACTGCAAGTAAAGACCAAACTGAGTTGCATGGTGCTCTGCAAATGGTTCCTCCAGGTATTTAAACTACTCCCATGATTTTGGAACTTACAATATACCATGTCTTTTTTGGCCTTTTTATTATTTTAAGGAGTACCGTATAGTCCTCTCACCTAAAAATTGGGGTGCCAAAAAGAGGAAATGCCTAGAAAATAAAAAGTGTGATGATACACAGCTCATAAAAGATCTTTTTTCTTTTCAAACATGTCACTGCTCATATAATTGGCTGATACAAAAGAAGAATATCAGATATTGATTATATAGTTAGAAGTTGGCAATGGTTTAAAAATTCTGAGATTGTTTCCCTCTTAGTACGAGGGTGGGCCTTGGTGCAACGGTTGGGTTGTTCCATTAGTGACCTAGGTGACCAAGGTTCAAATCTTAGAAATATATAATATGTTTTATATTCTATAATCTATACACTGATTGCTTTAATGAAATTCACCAGTTACTGGAAAAAAGTATAAGTTCAAACAGTCATTGCCTTGTTGTGATTGCCGGCGATGGTTTTTTACTTGTTTTCTTTTCGGATTTTTTTCCTCTGACAACCCTTGAATTTTGCCCAAAAACACCACTTTAAACCCTTAAGAATTAAAAGGGCCATTTTGCCCTCAAACTATGATGGAAGGCCATGTCAAGTAAAAAACGTATGATGTTAGAGACATTGTTGACGGCTATTTAGACAAATATTAAAATAATAAGGTCTGGTTATGTGGCATTGCTTAAGTAAAAAATCTGGGAAATTATAGGTTGGTCCCACTTGAAATTCTCATATGTTCATACTTGATGAAGAATAAAAGCTTCTCTTTGGTAAAACACCTATCCACAATACCCAGCATGTTCTAAGCAATAACAAATCTATCGAAAGCTTGAACAACCCAAGTTATCTCTCATGTGCAGGTAGTGACTTTTAGAGTTCTAGAGGATTATGTTCACATTGAACTTGGGTTTCATACTCTTTACGATCCCAGAATCATAATTAGCTGCAATTGCTTTAGGAAATTATTCTTCTAATTGAAAACCACTGATTCGTTCACATGGTGTCTGTAAGTGAATAGAAAACCACTGTCGTAAAGGTTTTTAAATTTTGTTCTTCAATGCTCTTGGTTTTTGTGGCTTCTTCTTCTTCTTTAATGATTTCACGAATTAAGAACTAGGTTTTGGCTAAATGTGATTCTAATGTTGCTGAATCCATGGGTTTGAGTACACGTTTTCGGTTACTTATTGACCTTTTCCATAGGACCTAGGTGGCTTGTAGCATCAGGAATGTAATATGTTTTACATCACATTAGCTATTTGAAGTAATGCAATTGAGGTATAAAAGAGATTGTGGGTTTTACATGCTTGAAAATGTTTTATATGTTTGATTTTATTTTTAAATTCTCATTTGAATATGCTTTACATGTTTCGTTTATGTATTTTGTATTTTAATTTTAGACAATAGGTCTTTTTTTTACTTTTTTAAAACATTTATTTTAAAATTTTAGTTTATATTCTTTACTAATACTATGTTTAATTTCTTTTGCATTTTTTTTTGAATTTTTTTGGGCATTTTTAAAAAATTGGCATTTTTTTTAACTTTTGTGCCTTGCACCTCGGGCGCAAATTGATCCCTACGCCTTTTTTGCGCCTTGCGCTTTTAAAACATTGATAATTTCAGAATGCCAAGGGGCGTTTGTGGAAAATAGATTGATGGTTGATGGGGTTTTAATAGCAAATGACTTAATCGATTCAAGGCTAAGAAGTGGGAGGGGTGGCCTGCTTTGTAAGATGGATTTAGAGAAAGCGTATTATCATGTGAATTGGAGCTTCTTGAACTACGTACTTAGGAGGATGAATTTTGGCTTCAAATGGAAAAACTGGATGAAGGTATGTATTAACACTCCTTCCTTCTTAGTTTAGGTGAATGGAAGACGGCATGGGAATTTTAGAAGCTTGAGGGGAATTGGGCAAGGGGATCCACTACCCCCTTTCCTTTTTCTTTGTGTCATGGAAGGCCTCTGCAAATTGGTGGAAATGGGTGGTGTTGGTGGATTCATAGAATGACTTTTAGTAGGCAATGAGAAGGTTGAGGTGAATTTACTTTAACTAGTAAGTGTGCACGTGACAATTCTGGATGATGATAATGATAGTAATAATGTATCCAAAATTTTCTATCAAATTCATGTAATTTTTTATTTTTTGTGTTTCATTATTAATCGGATGCAATTTCTAAAATCTGAATCCAAAATATGTAAACACCTCATATTGGTGTGCAAAGGTTTGGGTATTGTTGAGAAGTCTACCCAGTGATTTAAAAGGCGTGCCTAGGCGCTTAGGTGAGGCGCATTTTAGGGTAGGTGCCTCGCCCAGGTCCTAGGCGCAGCCCATTCAAAAGGCGCATGCCTGGTGCGCCTTGCGGCTTAGCCCAGGCGTGTGCCTTTTGAAAATTTGCCTATTTTTCCCTTTTTTTGAGTTTGGCCGTTGGGGCATGGAATTAGGAATGTAATATATCACATTGGCTACTTGATGCAATTGAGAAAAAAAAAGAGATTGTGGGTTTTATATGCTTGAAAATGTTTTATATGTTTGATTTCATTTTTAAATTCTCATTTGAATATGCTTTACATATTATATTTATGTATTTTAATTTTATATAATAGGTTTTTTAAAACATTTATTTTAAAACTTAAGTTAATATTTTTATTAATATTATGTTTTATAATTTTTTGATTTTTTTGCATTTTTTTTTAAATTGTGCACCTTGCCTCAAAAAGGCGCGTGCCTCGCCTTGCGCCTCAGGCGCAAAATGGCCCTTGCGCCTTTTTTGCACCTTGTGCTTTTAAAACACTGAGTCTACTAGGTTGGTTGGACTCTTCTTTTGTAATGTTTTATCTTCCTAGTGTATCTTTTTTTTTGTTCATTTATAAAAAAAAAGTGTAAGATTTTTTTTTTTGATTGATAAAAAAGTGTACGATTTAAAGAGAGGGAATTGAATGAGGTGAAAAGTAGTTCAAATTACATTTTAAACCTCACAATTATATGGGGATTAATAGTAATGTAAATATAGAATTTTAAATGTATTCAATTTTTCTATAATATGCCCAAAACTTTTTTTGTGAAGTTTATGTATTTTTTTTTCATTTTTGGGCTTTATATTTTATTAGTTTTTATTAATTGATTATGACATTATACATTGACATATTTGACCCAAAAGTTGAACTATTGGTTTCCGTCAATAAGGAAAATAATTTCATTATTGGTTAGTTTTAGATTATGTTTTTCATTTTTATCGTTAGTAAAAATAATACTTGTTTATTACACTTTTTTTTAATTTGATTAATAAAAATATCATAAATGTGTAATTTTTTTAGATTTTTGACATTTTCTATATCTATTCCTATTTACAAATTTTATTATCTAGCTATGACTTCATGGGTTGACCATTTTGATTCGGATGGTTGAAAGTCTTAGTCATCACTTCGATAAAGAATGGTTTATTTTTGAGTAAGTTTTAAAATCTACGGGTTTATATTGTTAAAAGTATTGGACAGAGATTTAATTTGTAGCATTTGTTAGTGAAAAATAACTTAAATATAGGATTTAATAAGAGAGAATGGGAGTTACTAACTTAAATATAAGACTTAATGAGAGGAGATTAAATGAGGAGAAAAGCATTAATCGAAATTACATTTTCAACCCTTATAATTAGAGATGGACTAAATACATAAATATGGGCATTTTATTCATGACAAGTTCCACACCCTCATTCGTACTTTTAATAATAGTATAGATATGCTGATGACCCACTCATTTTTTGTGATGCTAATAGTTGCAATTTGTAATGCTTATGTTGAAATGTTTTGAAGTAGTCTTGGGGCTGCAAGTAAACTAGCGCAGAAGTGAGCTAGTAGCTGTGGGAGAGGTGCATGGGGTGACTAGTTGGGCAGAGATCTGGGGTTGCATAGTGGGGAAGTTGACCTTAGAATTCTTGGGAATTTCTCTGGAAGCAAGATGCAACTCTAAAACAATTTGGGAGCCAATTGTGAAAAGACATGAACAAAGATTGGCCTCCTGGAAAGCCAAGTACCTGCCCTACGAAGACAAAATTACCTTGGCAAAAAGTGTGTTATCTTAAATCCCTTTATATTTTATATCTTTATATCCAATCCTGGAAGAAATGGCATGCATTTGAAAAGAAAATGAGGGATTTTCTTTGGAGAGGTTGGAAAGGGGGAAAGAAATACCACTTGGTGAATTCTGCAGGCCCAAATCTCAAGGGGGGCTGGGTGTTAAAAGGGTGAAGAATGTTAATGCTGCTCTGCTAGGGAAGTGGTTTTGGAGATTTGGGGAAGGAGGGCTGTGGAAAAAAGTGGTGCAGGCCAAATATGGTGAAAGGATTTGGGGTGGGAGCCGGTTCAAACCAATCCTATGGGTGCTCAGCTTGGAAGGAATGAAAAGGCATATAACTTGTTTGTAAATGGAGTGAAATTCAAAATAGGAAATGTGGAACATGTCAAAGTTTGCAAGGATGTATGGTATGGAGAGAGGTCCTTGGCTGAGGGCCTGTTCGTTTCCTCTTAACTCTTATTTCTTAAAAGGATTCTTTTAACTTTAAGAGAAAAATGGTTTTTCGTTTCCTCTTATCTCTCATCTCTTAAGGTGCAATCATACAACTTTTTGTTTTCCAATGATACCCCAAAAAAGAGAATAATTCACCAATACCAATATAGGGTCAAAATGGATATTTGATAATTTTTAGAATTCAGAATTTAGAACAACATTCTCTGCATTCAGAGTTCAGAGGAAAGAAAAGTTCACCAATACCAATATACCTCTTAATTTAATTATTGCACTTTCAGATGTCAGACTTCAGAGCAAACGAACATGCCCTGAGAGTTTCCCAGCTCTGTTTGAAATTGCAATGAACAGAGAAGTCAAAATTTCTGATTGCTTGCAGATTCAAGAAGGTAACATAGTTTAGGCTCCACAATTCAGGAGGAATTTAAATGATTGGGAAGTGGATGTGTGGATGGGGTTACTACTAGTGGTGAGCAAGCGGTTTATTTGGTTAAAAACCGAACCGAATAAATCAAAATTTTTAAAACTGAAATTTTAAATGAAAAACCGAACCGAAACCGAAATAGAAAAACAAAATAACTGAAACTGATTTTTTTCGGTTTTCGGTTATTTTGGTTAAACCGAAGTTCAACACTATATATTTTAATATATATTATAGTGTATATTTTAATGTATGATATATTATATATTAAAAAATATATATTATATAATGTATATAATAAATGATATATTTTAATACATAATATAGTACAATATAATAAATTTTATACATATTATATATGTATTATATGTTAATATATATTATAGATAATAAAATTCGGTTTGTTTTGGTTAACCGAATTTCTAAACCTGAAAACCGAAACCAAAATTTTGGGGTTGGTTTTAACTGATTAATGCTCAGTCATAGTTACTACAGCAGTATGATACACAGGTGGAGGCTGACAGGTCTGACAGAAGAATTTGGAAATGGGAGAAGTTTGGAGTTTTCACTTTTTAAGTTCTTTTTTAAGGCAATGGATAATGCAGAAGGACATCCAGTCCCAGCTCACATCATTTGGAGTAAAAATCTGCGTTCAAAGATTTCCTTTTTTGTATTGTCCGCCTACCTTAACAGATTACTCACACGGGACAACCTGGCACGGAAAGGCTTTGTGTTGGGGATTCCCCCCTGTCCGAGGTGTTCCCCTCCCTTTTTGCTCTTTCCAGTCTTGAAGGAAAAACCATTAGTGATTTTATTAGCTCTTCCTCTTCACCTTCAAACTTGAATTGGAATCTGGATGTTGTTAGAAATCTGAGAGAAGCTGAATTGTCTAGTGTCTCTGCTTTGGTTAATTTGCTGAACTCAGTGGTTTTGGGGGACAGTGGCTCAAATTCTAGAGTTTGGGCACTCAATCAGTCCGGGTCCTTCTCTTGCAAATCTTTCTTGAACTCTCTTGTTGCCACATTCTCATCTCATTCTTTCCCTATCAAGGAGATTTGGCTTCGACCCATTCCTCCTAAAGTCAGTGCTTTTTGTTGGGAAGTGTTCCTTGGCTCCATCAATACCTGTGAATTGCTTCAGAGAAAAGACCAAATTGGTGCTCCTTATGTAAGGTGCATGGTGAGACTGCCTTTCATCTTTTAATATCTTGTCCTTCTGCTAATTTCATTTGGGAGTGGTTGTCCTCTCTGTTTGGATGCAGCTGGTCTCCTCCTACTAATCTGGAAAGCTTCTTTAGCTGTCACTTATTCAGGTGTTCTAAAAGGAGGGGCAGAATTATGGGATGATGCACTAGAGCAGCAGTTGCTTGGACAATTTGGGAAGAAAGAGCTATGAGCATCTTTGATGACAGAAAGAAGCAAAGAAACTGTGATTGAAGTGATAACTCCAAGGGTGGTGCATTGGGTGAAAACACTAATTTTTTTTTGCTGATTTTAAGACATAAGACTTTTTCAGGTTATGGGGAACAATTGCAAAGACTGCACCTAGGAAACCCATTGTGAATGAATCCTGTTCCCCTCCAGATGTTGGGTGGAAGAAACTAAATTTTGATGGCAGCTGTTTGGGAAATCTGGGGCCATTGGGAATTGGTGGGATAATAAGGTAAGAGAATGGAAATATGCTAGCCATGTTCTCAGGTCCTTTTCTGCATGGTTGTGTGGTGAGCTCAGAAATGAAGGCAGCTGTGTTTGGTGTTGAAAAAGCCAAAGAAATGGGCACTGATAGGTTGATTGTTGAAGGGGATTCAAAAACTGTGGTGAACTGGCTGAAGAAAGGGGAAGGAATAATTTGGTATTTAAGGAATGAGTTCAGGCGCTTCAAACAGGCCTAAAAAGACATGGTGATTCAAATAAGATGGATTAGAAGATCAGCTAACAGCATGGCTGATGGACTAGCTAAGCAAGGAGTTCAAAGACAATCTATGTTTTGGGCTATGTTCTATTTAGTAGGCAGAGAAACCCTGGAAGTAAAAATGGGCAATCCTGAGCCAAATCCTGTTTTCAGAAAACAAACAAGGGATCAGAGATGTTTCTGTTGGGTTACCCTTTGGACTGTGTTTTAATTAATGGGATTTTCTTTTGGGTTTACTTGTGTCTGCAATGTATTTAGTGGGACAATTTGGACTGCCTGTCCGCCCACAACTTCTTGTTGTACTTGATTTTTTAATTAATGAATCAATTCTGTGTTGCTGATAAGAAAGTCTTTGTGTTGGATTCAGACGGGTGTGTAATGTGTGAAGGACAGCAGGAAACTGTAGATCATCTTTTGCTGCATCATAGTTTCTCTCATGGGATTTGGAGCAGAATTTCATGTTTATTTGAAGAACAAAATTGTTGTCCAGGATCAATTGAGTTTGTAAGAGGCTGGAGGGTGGAAGGTCTGCACCAAAGAGGAAAGATGATACCCCAGCAGTGGTATTTTGGTGTCTTTGGCAAGAGAGGAATGCAAGGGTCTTCAAAAACAAGTCTAGTTCTGCTGATGCTATTCTCAGAATAATTTGGGAAAGATGTATTCATGGTTGGCTGATCATAGGTTGTTTAAGGGTGTGGGTTTTGATTCCTTTTTTGTAAATGACAATCTTTTTGTAGAGCCGGATGGGGGGGTCAAGGTCAGAGGGGACATGTTTTGAGGGTCCCTGAGTATACCATCTTGCTGTGTTTTGTTCATATTAATACATTTATACTTTATCTTCTCTTAAAAAATGGCCCTTCTAATTGTTTAGGGTCTAAAGTGTTTTTTCTGCGAAGTTTAAGGGTTGTTAGAACAAAAAAAACCATAAAAGAGATTCTATATTTGTTCAATATTCACGTCTATTCATCTGTAATATGTGCCATTCTCTTTTTCTTTTATGCAATAAGTTTAAGGATTTTATTGGTATTATTGCCACCTATATTACATTTTTGTTTATTCTTCAGGAGAATCTCCCTCATCATCTGCTTCAGATGTTGATAATTTAACCCACCAAGGGGTGCAGGATAAAATTGCTTCAACCAAGAGTACTAATTCACCTCATTTTGGTGGAAACCATGTGATTGTTGCACGCAACCGTCCAAGATTTGAGGGGCTTCTCAACTTTGTAAGTATACTCATTGTCATTTATGTTCTATGGTCTTTACTTCATCTCTACAGTCTATATATGTAGAGCTTCATGGAAGAAGAGGAGATTTGATAGAAATATGTGAATCCAGTCCCTTTAGAGATGCCAGTTCACATGGATATCTTGAACACTAAATGCATTGGGCTAAAAGGGTCATTATCAATAGAGAAAAGGGGGGTATTCTAGGTCTATTTGGGTGAGAGATTCCTCAGGTTGAAGATTTATGTGGTTATTCTTGTTAAATAGGGGTTCTTCTTAGATCATCTAAACCATAGGGGTAGTCGGTGCAACTCCATGATTATTGTGTTAATCTGGCAAGCATCCGTGTAATTAGTGAATTATTTATTTATTTCCTGTACAACCGCTTTCTTCCTTTTAAGATTATTTTCTTTTTCATGTCCTACCACCCTTTTGCAGTAAGGATGCCATCTTATGGTTTGTTTGGCCTTATTACCTATTTGTTGGGCCTCATAGAAGGAACATAACTGGGAAATTTTAGATTTCAAAAAACTACAGGAGAAATTTTGAGAGTAATGGCCTGTATTAATTGTTTGTGGCTGTTGGTAGTTTTTTGATGGTTTGGACTTTCTTGTGCTTAAGGGGTTTAGGGGGCTGAGGCTCAGAGATTTTCTGTCTAGGGGAGCACAAGTGTAGGGTGTAGGGGGCTGTATATACTTAATTAAAATCTTTTTATCACTAATCCCTTCTTATCCAAGGAAAAAAAATTTAAGGTAATTATAAAAAAAAGTTATGCCTTTGGTATAGCAAAAAGGGGAAAAATTTCTGCTTAGTAGGTTGGTTGGTGGGTTGAATCTTTGTGTTTGATGTTCTTACGTATTGTTGCATTTTACCTTGATGGTGGAATAAATGTTTTTAAGTGGGTTTGGGAGGTGGAACAATTTGTCTAGTATATGATGTGAAGTGACTTGAATAATTTGACCATAGTGAAGAGAAACTCTGATACTAAAATAGGTGAAGAAAATTTATCCAATTTATTCATAAAAAAAAATAGGTGAAGAAAACAAGGGCAACTTTTGTTTGCCTTCTTCTACCAAGTGGAAGGGTGAAAACTACTGGGGGGGGGGAGTTGAGAAAGCACCTTACCCCCTGCTTGCACAAGACCAAGGCCTAAGACTAACCCTTTTTGCTTGTATATATGTGTAGCTTTACTGATTGGAGAACATTTGACATGCGTAACTTGTACAAGTGAGTGGAACAATGTTGAATAAACGAGTATTAACTTGCATCTCATACTAAAATTTGAGTAAAGTTGCAAAATGGAGTACAAATTTGGGCACCTTGAGGTTTCTATCCTTTAATCTCTGCGAGCATTGGACATTTCTGAAGGGTTCTTAAACCTCCTTTCTTTACTTTCCATTCTGGCACCTGTTGTCATGCCAAGATGTGTTACAAGATTCATAGTATTTTCTGGACTATCTAATTGGATGTAATAACTTATGTCAGGGATAAACTTCGTTGCCCACTCAGAGTGCACAACATGATGTCATGACAGATGTCTTTTCATTTTCATCCAAAGGTTTTGTAATTTTTTAATTAAAAAATAAAAAACAACCCATGTTTATTTTGGCTGTATGTTAACAGTATCATTCTCTGCAGTCTGGGCAGCGAAATGTTTTCTGCTGAAACCATAGTATTTGCACTATATTATTAAACTTAGGTGGAATCACTAAATATTGGATCCCATCCCCATGCACTTTCACAAAATCCACTCGTCCTGTTGGTAAGGTTTTTGACTCAATGGTTAATTTTGATTGCTTCATTGATATACTGATCCAAAAAAGAAGATTGCTTTATATATATAAACTCTGCTCTTTATGTTTGTTAAGTGTTTAATTGCCTTGAAATTCAATTGTAGGCTAAAGAAGCAGCATCAGCAATGGAAGCATCAAGGAAGGCACAGAATGCTTTTGCAGCTGCTAGTGTACACGGGGAAGAGGGACAATATGTGGAAGCTATTTCCTCTGTTAAGCGAGTCCTTGATTTCAGCTTTCATGATGTGGAGGGTTTTCTACGTCTTGTACGGGTTTCCATGGAGGCTATTAACCATTGATGTGTTAGTGGTGGTAGAGATTATTTCATCTCTGTGAATATATTGAGCTTCTTTGATCTGTTTCCTCCATAAGCCTTGAGGAAAAGAAAAGAAGCGGAGCTGGACCCCCTGGCCATATAAAGCAATTCTTTGTGGAGGAAAGGGTTCTTCTGACTGAGCTTCTCTGTACAATGTGTACAAAATGACTTTGATTTGCAGTTTTCATATTCTTTGTGAGCCTTTGGCTGGTTTTTCACAAGGGTAAGGATGTCAACCAATAAGTTTTGAAGATTGGGAGGGCAAATTTCTCTGTTTATATGTCAAAGCTTCTGCCACAAGGGTTGGAGGAGATGCAGAAATGATGTTTTATGGCTCCATCTGGGTCATAGCTGTAGATGATTGACAGATTCTAAACCCATTAGGATTTAGGAAATCAGCTAAAGGTGGCCTGAACACTGATTTAGCTAGTTCTGATTTTTGCCATTTTTCTCACCATCCGTGAAGGGTGTCAAATTTTGTCCCTTTTTTGTATTTTTGAATTTATTTGAGAATGAAAAAATGAATGATTCAGTAGAGGTTGCCTACCTGTTAAGAATTTCCAAGCGTAGATGTATAAATTCTTGCTTTTGAATTCTTGTTGTACCATATCTTGCATGCCCAAAGGCAATAGAAGAGGTGACCTTGAGTATGTTGCTTTAACATGTAATTCTCTATGCTGGTGCTTTCTATCTTTTTATCTGCCTGTTTTATTTACTATTAACTGTTTTTTTATTTGTCTGTAGGTTGCCTTATGACCATCTGTTGTTGCAATCCAAATGATTGGTTCTGATGATAAAAGAGAGTAGGATTGTAAATATACATTCGTATTAGAGAGAGAGGGAGGGCTTTGTAGGTACGAGTATGATGTTTAGGTTATAGGAGAACTCACTGGTAGCACTCGAGTCTTGCTCTTCAACTAGAGGTTTAGCGGAACTCTAACAACTGTGCAATTGGTGGCGTCTTTAGATATTTTTTTCTCTCCACCAGCATAATTCATGTGCTAACTTTTAATTATTTTGTTTTTTTCAGGGTAATTTCTCTCTACTTGTATATCATTATACTCTATTCGAGACATGCTGATGCCACACAACTGTTCCATTGGTGTGGATAACCTGACAATGATTGGTTGTGATGATAAAAGAGGTAAAATCTGCACTTCCTATTGACATTATTCCGAACTTGCTGAAATTCTGTAGTACCTAGATCACTTTGGCTCTTTGGAAAAAAACTGCCCGGGCTGTTTTGGAAGCCTCTACGCATGACACCTTAGCTAATTCAGGTCCTCATTTGTTTTTTCAACCAAAAAAGTATTGGGTGTAAATACTATTTTACCCACACTCATTATGAGAGGTCATTCACATCAGGCTCCCAAAACAGCCCATGCTGTTTTTTTACAAAGCCAAAGTTTTTCCCGTAGGTGACCTTTTGTAGGGATAACCTGACAATGAAACATGTGTGTTCTTTGTATGTAAAGTTGGTTTATTTATGTAGTGCACTTTGTTGTTTTGTCCTACAAGCATGAGGACTTGTGTAGTGGGACCAACTATTGGTCCGGCTGTTAGTGGATGGTATTGGGAAGTGTGCAATCAGGGGGTCCTTTTTTGTCGGAGAGGAGGCAAAGTGAAGGCCTTCAGGGGCGGATAGCGGTTGTTTACCCCTTAAATACTAGAAACACTATATATGAACATTATACTGGATTAATGTGCTCTATTGCCATTCCTTTAGATAGCAGCTGCAATAGAAAGTTAGAAACTATTGCTACCACCCATAATTGTATTTATGTGTGAAGAGACTTGGAAAGTTGATGTAAATCCTGTCTACCATACATAGTTTTCAGAGTGTCTTTGTCCTGGAAGGTCGGACTTTTCAATACGTAACTTGGAAGAATAGCCAGGCTGGTTCAACTCCAGTCCATCAGGTCCTTAAAAACTGTTGATTTGGTTATCATCCCATTGACTGGACAAATGAACCTTCAACATGTTCAACATGTTCAATCCTCTTTGTAACATGTTCATGTTGGAAAGAAGCTGGTGGAAAGTTGGATACTCTTTCTCCTCCCTAATCAAAACAACTGGAACCAAATATACTAGATAATTCCAATCTGACGTCTATTAAGCATCTACAAGTTGAACACGTGATTGCTGAATTTGGATATGTGACTGCTGAATCTTGTTAAGCTTAGTATTAGTCTTCTACAAATATTAACTCCTTATATAATGCTTCTCTGAAGTGAGCAAAGATATTACTGACATGTCTAAGTTTTTGTTTCAGGAAGGAAAATGGATTGCAGTGACGATGGTGGCAGTAGGCAGTAGCAAAGTGCGATTGTTGCCTTGGTGGACCTCCATAAAGTGTTTCCTTTGTATGATTTGTGTACGAGAAAGCACTACTATGATTTTGATCGCTCTCCTCTGCCTATGTATCATAGCAACAAGCCAACAATATTGATTTTTTATTTTTTATTTATTTTTATATAACAAGAAAAGAAAATCTGGATCTACTTTTGTGAAGATGTTTGCAATTGTGCCACCATTTCTGTATGATACATTCTGTAGCTTGGTTGTTTCATACGCATACACCATGTTTATTGAAGGATGTGAACCTGAGGTTTAGCTTACGTTTTTATTTATTTATTTTTAATGGGAAATCAGAGTAGCTACACAAAACCGGGGGGGGGGGGGTAGCTCTTCCCCACAAATCAGCTAGACAAATGAGATCAAGACCACTAAAGATACAATTAGACAAGACTCGGTTTGATTTGGACTGGACCAGCCAATACAAAGACATTTCTTACTATTGGCATTGTTCTCACTAAAGCATTACTCTTCAACTCATGCCAATAATTCACAGCTCTATCTACTTATAATTGGGGATTAGTAGTTTTATCATTAAAGCACTTTTCATTCTTGTTTTTCCAGATGAACAAAAGTAAACAAGCAATCTTTTCTCTGCCCTCACTATTAAAATTAGAGTGGTGCACATCGTCAAAGCTTAACCACCATTGGTTAAAAGAAGAACCATTATTTGGTGGAATTGAAAGCCACTCGCTCACAATTCGCCACACCTGTTTCGTGAAATCACATTTAGCTTACTTACCTACTAGGAAAATTGGTTGTTGTCAACTGTTCAGTTGCAATCCTTTGTTCTACTCATAGATGTGATATCTTATGTAGGGGCTGTTGTCTTCTCTTATGGATTGGAGTAATGTCTTTTGGAGTTATTGAAATTAGCTAACTGATGCTGTTCGATCCTAGCTAGTGCAAGAACTGAGGTTATGGTCAGATAATCCTTGCCAACTGGGCAGAGCCGAGGTAGAAAAATGAAGCCATGCACCAAAATCTACAAGTAAGAAACAAGTCAGAGGCCCAAGGACTTATCCCCGGGTAGGTACTCCGACGCTCAAGTCAGTAGACGAAGTGGGCGGTCGGGCTGAGTAGTTATAAAACAGTGCTAGTCTGAGCAGAGTAATAGTATGGGAGTCAAAAGTCGGATCCTTTACCTTGAGTGGGAGGTACCTTTTTATAGCCGAAAATCCTTTACCTTGTTGGGATGAGGTTAACCGTTGGGGTCTTCGGGATAAGGCCTAATCTCCAGTAGAGTTGTCCTCATCTGCTCTTCTGTCTTGGTCGTGCTTATCCACTTGATGTGGAGTCGTCATGGCTGGAAAGGTAGAGTGGGGCCGCGGAGATGACATGATACTGACGTGGCCAAGGAGATAATGTGGGTCGCGGATGCGGTGTGGTGCTGACATGGCCGGGGAGATGAGGCAATCACGTAGGTGCCACGTGGCATCCAGAGCCATCTCAACCATAACCCGAACGCCACTCCCCCAGTTCCGAAGTCGAGGAGTAAAGTGCTCGGCCAAGGTGTAGCACGGAAGAGAGCTTTAGTCCTCGGCTGAGGAACTCAAAGTTGAAGTATGGTTGAGCTTCTGGTCCGGTTCGTGTTGGAAGAGAGCTTTAGTCCTCGGCTGAGGAACTCAAAGTTGAAGTCTGGTTGAGCTTCTAGTCCGGTTCGTGTGGCCCAAGGTTGGACCGGTTCTTCTAGGATGATCCGACCAGGTTGATGGTCGCACTATCTCTGAAACGGGTTGTCAGAAGTGTCACTTTGCTTCCCAAGGTTATGCGCGTGCGAAGGGCAGAGGTGTCGATTGGTCTTCCCAGGCTTGTCAGAGCGGCGTTTGATCTCCGCCATCAATCTTGCTTTGATCAAGACCATTGGGGGTCCTATAAATATGGGGAGAAGAGCATTTCTCCTTCGTCATTTGTAAGAGAAATCACTTAAGAGTGCTTGGTGTGTCCGGAAGCGTGTCGTTAACCACTTCAGAACACCAGTTTCAATATTTATAAATTTTCCAATTCTCAAAATAATTACAAAACGCAGTTAATGGTGAGAAATGGGTTGTATCCACAGGGAAGCAGGGAAAAATTGTTACGTACTTCAATCCAGACAAAATAACAAGATTTGAGATTGTAGAAACACAAAATTTAATTAACTGAATTTGAATCCATTAAAATAAAATTCTAACAATGCTGAAAATAAAAATTGTAGAAAAATAAATAAGTAACAAAAATAAAAGAACTAAATAAAAAAATTGCAACTCGGTTAGAGGTAGTAGTCTCCGGATCTATCCTTTGACCCTCGAACTCCTCGAGCTGGGCCTTCCATCTTACCTGACCGAATTTCAGATCTGCAGAAAGGAAGACAAAAATTAAATTTGATAAAAATAAATTGCAGAAATAAAATAAAAACTAGAAATTAAAGAACGGAAAATAAAAACACGCGTAAAAAGTAAATCTAAAACTATGGGAAACTGGTTGGGATCTGGATCCAGAGGTGGTAGTAGTGGCTAGGCGAACTGCAAGCAGGAACCCCTCCTCTTGCCTGGGCATTCTCCTCTTCCTCTACCCTTGAACTTCTCAAGAACAACCTTCCGTCTTACCTGGGGGCAGAATCCAACCAAAATAACATAAAAGAAAATAAAGAAAACGAAATGGATGGTTGATTAAATCCAATGGCTATAGTTGCAGATTGGCTGGATTGCTTGCAGGAACCCTTCCTGACAAGATCTGGGCGTTCTTCCCATCTATAGCCCTTGAACTCCTCAAGAAACCTTAGCCTTGTGAACTGGGTGAATTGACAAACCCTTCTCCAGGGCCCTTGTGGTCCATTTTATAGAGAGGGGTGGACAAAACTGGGATTTGTGAGAAAGAGAGGGGCGGCAACTGGGTTTTTGTAGAGGTATGGGCGCCCTAGGGTTGAGAATGGAGGGTTAGGATTGCCCTAAGGTGATCATAAGGCTGAGAAGAGAAGGAGAGGGTGCCCAATATTATGTAGGGTTGAGATTTGGGCGCCCAGAATGGAGGGAGTAGATTTGGGCGCCTAGAGATAGAGAAATGTGATTGGTTGGTGTTTAAGGAGTGACGTGTAAGGCTAGGATGCTGTATAGGGAGTGATCTAAGGGTATGAGGGGCTGCCAAGGCTTGGATGGTTGAGATTAGAGATTAGGAGAGAGTGGAGGGTGGAGATTTGATAGCTTAGTGTTACGGTCTGACACAGGCTTAGCCTTGCCTACGCTTGGCAGGCTTACGTTAAGGGACATCATCGTCATTTTTGCCTGTAAGATTTTTGGGAGAATTCATGTTATCTTCAGGCAGATAACCAAAAGCTTAATGTACTCTTTGAGGAGGGGTGGTCGACCTCCTTGGGTGCCTAACCTTGGCACTCCTAGACCAACTTCCCTTGCGGGGCGGCCCTGGTTAATGGCTA